GATTAATGACTTACTTTGCCAGGCAATGAGGAAACAGATTTAAATCAGAACCTTGCTGACCAGGAGTTCACAGTCTTATGGCTGAGACCATTAAATAGATAATTACAATACAGTGTGAAATGGTCTATGTTTGAGACACCCCCAGAAGGCCATGGAATATAAGGATGGTGACCCAAACTAGGTGATACCTGAGATGGGTCTTGAAAGAGAAGTTACCCCAGGAATGAAGAGGAAAAGGACATTTTAGACTGAAAAATGTATGATTGCACAGAGAGGGTGAGAAGGACACATTGAGGAAATTTCACGTACTCTGGATATGCATGGCTAGAATACATGCAGGTAGAAAATGACACTACGGTAGGCAGCTTCGGTGGAGAATATAACATGCTAAGAAATTTGAGTTTTATTCCAAAGACTATGAGAAAGCATTAAAGAATTTTAATCAGATAAGTAGTATGCTCACATTTGTACTTTGTAGGGATTAGTGCAGTATGAAACAAGATAAGAGTGGAGGTAATGGTGCAGGCAGGACCAGAAGGATGGAATCACCCAGAGATTTGATATGCATAAACATTTCTCTGTATTTGCAGTCACAAAGGGTGGGATCTCTAGCTTTGCCCTAAAATACATCAGTTTTGGTAAACCCTTTGGGTCAATACCCATGCTGGAGAAAAATCCAGAGAAATGCCTTTTATCTTTGTTTCTTTCCCTTTTCTCATACTATGTATTTAAAAAAGATAATTTTGGATCATGCCACTTGATGTATTGGTAGGTGCTGGTGCCAGTAGCTAGGCAGCCAGGATATATTTAACATATTTGATGCTGACCCAAGTTATTCTAGGTTTGACACAATTCTGAAATTCATTTACTCAGCAAATACATAAGCACTGTATTGAAGCATTATAAGAGTCCATATATGAGATAAATACAGATCCTGTAAATTGTTTAAAGTCTTGATGGAAGTCAAGTACATTAGCATTAGCATGTTTTACACAAGTCAAATTGCTATCATGAAAGATGTGCAGATACTATAGGAAGGGAAATTTTCATGGAGGAAACACTTAAAGGATGGGTAACGTTTGAACACTCAAAAAAACTGGAGAAAGGATATTTAGGCAGAGAAAGCTGCAGGAGCGAGGCGGCACATGTACTGGGAACAGTGTTTGACTTGGTTTGGTTGGTAGTGAAGTGTAGTTAGTGCTAGTCATGAGGGCTCAACTGAGAAAATTGGTCAGCCATAAAAGGTTTCTCAATAAGGACGTGAATAATCAGAACTTCGTTTTTAAATTTTTAGTCTAACAATATTGTGAATAGAATGGATTTCCAAGAGAAAAGATAAGAGCTGAAGGAAACAAAAAACTACCACAATAGTCTGCACTCAAAAGAATTAGTGTGTGAAATAGATAAGTGGTCATGGGAATAGAGATAGGAGAATGGGATTTATTAGTGCTCTGGAATGTTGGCTGTTGCCACTGATGAGATTTAAACTGATTTGGTGGATGATGGTGCCATTCAAAGGAAGCAGCAACAGATTTAGCAAGAAGAAATAGTGATCTCTAAAGATATAGTTTTATATTAATTTATCTATTTAGTTACATTATATATGAGGAAACTATGTGCTTAATTCCACATTCTCTTTTGGCTATTGATATACTAAATGTATAGCCTTTACTTTGGACTCTATAACATTAATTATAATTAGTTAACATAGCAACCAAACAAGCCCACAAAGTGGTCTGATGAAATGCTCATGTACTTCCTATATAGAGGTATGAAGTCACCAAGTGTGGTACCCAACAAAAATGCCCTGCTCTTTTAGGGTTTAGAAAAATATGAGATTGTTTCTCTGTTACATTTTGAGCTGTTGGATATTTTAAAGCAATTACTAAATCCTTTTGTCAATCTCATTCTTCTCTGCTATTTGCCAGTAACATAGTTAAGGATAGCTATTTAGAGGTTTGACCAAACTAAGAGCATTCATGCTTACCTAATCTTATTTGCACTAGAATTTTACAACAAGCATGTTCTCGGATGAGTGCTTTAAATGTTTTCCAAGACTTTTTGATTGAACTAAACTAAGGAGAGGGGAGGTATGGCTTAAAGTTTTGTTTCTGTTGTGCCTTATCTTTCAAAATGTTAAGATAGCCGAAAAAGGGATTGGAATAGTTTTTGCACTTTGGATTATAACTTTCTTAAATAAAAAAATCTCTGCTGCCATCATATTTTAGCAAGCATTTTAACATTTAATATAGTTTTTTTAATCTATATTTTTTTAAAAAATCTAATGAGTTTGGGGGGGAATATTAGTTGCTTGTGGCATAATACTTTAAAATCCTATGACTCTTAAATTTTTTTTTAAAAGGTCTAGAGGAAATGCCTCTATTGAACACATAAACTATAAAGCACAGCCAACAGAAAATTGTAGGATAGTAACAAGTTTAACATTCTGCTTGAAATGTTTATCTCTTCAACCACCCTGTCCCACCTCTATTCCATCCCTTTGCCTAATTAAGTCTTGTTAATTCTGATTTTAACTCAGCTTCACTTGCTTTCTCAGTGAAAACCTTCCCTGTCCTCCCCAAGTTGATACAATCTATCAGAGTATTCTATCCATCTCTTTCAGAATAGTTTTCACAGTTATTTTATATTTATTTGAAGAGTTATTTGATTAATGGTAACATTTAAGAATGTCTCCCTCAGGACACCTGGGTGGCTCAATTGGTTAAGTTAGTTAAGACCTCATTTGGTTAAGACCTGCCTTTGGCGCAGGTCATGATTTCAGGGTCCCAGGATGGAGCCTACCTTGGGCTCCCTGCTCATCTACTTCTCCCTTTCCCTCTGCCTCTCCGCACTACTTGTGTCCACGTTCACTCTCACTCTCTTCCCCTCCCTCTCTCTCAATCTGTCTAAAATAAATAAATAAAAATCTTAAAAAAAAAAAAAAGTCTTCCTCCATAGACTCTATATGAAGAATCGTCTTTTTAATTGTACTGTTAAATTATTTGGTGGGGGGAAAAAAAAGTTATTCGTTGGGGGGTAGGGGTATGTGTATATTTTTTCTTTCTTTTTTTTTTTTTTAAGATATATGGGCCTTTATTTTCAAAATTACTGTGGCAAACCTGGAAAGTTCAGGAAGCACAATATGTAAAACATCATGGCATTTATTGACAGGAACAGATATTATTGACAGATAATAAATAATAACATTAAGTGGGATCTCATATTTCAAACAAATTTAAATACCTTGAGAATAATTAGAAGACTAAGTTCATAATTATTATTTAATCTACCTCTCTGGTTTTATCATCTACCACTTCTTGAAATATACTGTGGCTTATTAGTAAGGGGCATATATTTTTTCTTTAAGATCATATGATATTACTAAATATTTTAAATTAATTTATTATTTTAATTCCAAAACTAAAATACTCAATGAAACCATAAGAACCCTTCTAAAGTGCAAATATAAGAACACACGACCCCTTTACAAAGCAGGAAGTTGGAAAGAATGGAAATGTCATCTAAGTTCACTTGAGAAATAGCCCACAACAAAAGGGTTTCCAATCAATGCTAATGACCTAACAACTCTAAAGAGAGTCTTGTTTAGCAGTCACTTGCCTGAAGTAGATAGGTTTTGCAGTTATCAACTTAGATCAGAGAACTTCTGATTGACTATATTACTCTCAGAGCTGTAAAATAATCATGGTTTTAGTAATGAACTCAAAGCCATAAATATTGTGCAATGCCCAGAATTGACATTGATTTGCTGCATCCTGATCCCTTTTGCAATACTTCATTTAATCACAAATGTCTTCTTTGTTTTTGTTTTTTTAAGATTTATTTATTTATTTGACACAGAGAGAGAGAGAGCACAAGCAGAGGGGGAGGAGAGGGAGAAGCAGGTTCTTCCCGAGTGAGGAGCCTGATGCGGGGCTCAGTCCCATGACCCAGAGATCATGACCGGAGCCCAAGGCAGATGCCTAACCAACTGAGCTACCCAGGCACCCCTCAGGAAAGTCTTCTTTAAATTTTCCACTCATCTTCTTCCTTTCTTCTTTCCATTCCGTTTTCATATTTAACTTTTTTTTTTTTTCTTAGCAGTACCTTTCTTCGTTTAGATAAAATACTCACGTGAGCATTCAAGATGTTAAAAACCATCAAAAGTTCAGGGGGGAAAAAAACAAAAACCAGAAGTAAAACCAAATGAATTACTGAAGTAATAATTAGTAAAAGCTTATTATGTGCATACTAAAGAACACAGTCTACAAGTTAGGAGCACTCAAAACAAAAAGATGGACTGAGCCTGTTATAAAGAAGCTTATATGATGTGGAGGTAATAACTATTTTTCAGTTTAGTTACAATATTAGAATTTTCCTAAATGAGAGTGAATTGGTTAGGGGTTATCTCATATCAATTTGGGACAACAATTTACGTTTTATTTATGATTTTCAGAGGCATAAGCAAGGAGTGACCAATGTTAAGTTAGCTTCACTTGTCTTGCACAATAAGCCAAACTAAACTTTGCTTCTATGACTAAACTAGTTTTGCCTGCTCGGGGAATTTTTAAATCTGGTCTCTATTCGTGTTTGATTTTTTTAAATTATTTTTTATAAACATATAATATATTTTTATCTCCAGGGGTACAGGTCTGTGAATCGCCAGGTTTACATACTTCACAGCACTCACCATAGCACATACCCTCCCCAATGTCCATAACCCCACCCCCCTTCTCCCAACCCCCCTCCCCCCAGCAACCCTCAGTTTGTTTTGTGAGATTAAGAGTCACTTATGGTTTGTCTCCCTCCCAATCCCATCTTGTTTCCTTTATTCTTCTCCTACCCCCTTAACCCCCCATGTTGCATCTCCACTTCCTCATATCAGGGGTGTTCATTTTCGATTTTAACCTACTATCTTCTGCGAATCAATTCCCTCTGTGAGTTTCCCTCACACACTCAAGTCTACACACAAATAAATGTTTTCCTTAATCTTTCCTTCTCAGTTTTATTCGGGGTCATATTTCAGGCAGCATCAACATTCCATTTAGTGCTGCCTTCACTGCAGAAGGGGAGCTTACCCAGGGCCCTTTCACTGCTGTGCTCCAGAGCTTCAAAGGGAAGGTCATTGTCATCGTGGGGCATGTGGCAAAGCACACAGCAGAGGTAAGTGGACTTAGAAGCGGCATATGAACATAATGATGTGTTATCTGTCTGTCTATCATAACCGTTTGTCTAAGAGTATATTTCTTTAGGAGTTGGTCACAAATCAAACGAGCTTTGAAGTTCTGACTATTTTCTTACACTGAAGAGTTTGTTCACCTTTTCCCAGTAAAAGAATTAACACTTTTCCTCAGTGTGCAACATCAAGATCAGTAATAAACTTAGAAAGAGCCAAATGATAGCCTAAGATGTTTTTGTTTTGTTTTGTTTTGTTTTTGTTTTTGAACTTCTTTCTGAAATTGCACAGAAGTAGCTTCATTTCCTTCCATGGGAGAAGTACACTGGGGCTTGATTGGGGGCTCTGAAAGCTGATCATGATAGAATTTATTGGATCTGGGGATTTTGTTTACTATGGCCTCAAAGCTTTTTGATGATAGAGAATTCAGGAAGGATATCAACTTTCAGATACGAGGAGGATATGAAGAAATAAAAAGTCTTCCCTCTTCCCTAACTATGTTCTTAGCAAATTGAGGATAAAACAAAGAGTAGCTTATGGAGGTCAAAAATATCAGTTATTTTTTATAAAAGACAAGTTGGAGAATATAGTTTAAGATGAGAGCCAAATGTGTTTCCTCATAAATCCCCCAGGATTGGTGAACATACCCAGATGTAGGCAACATTGAACCAGGACAGGCCCTTTTTCTAAGGGGAGGGAAGAATCTGCTCCTGGAAAAGTAGCAGACATGGTTTGCTCCCTGCAGGTAACTTATTCCCAAAAGGAAGAAGGGCAAGGCAGAGCCTTCCCAAATTTACCAGTCAAATCAATCAGTCCTCCGCTACCCTGGGCAAAGTGAATAAAGGGACAAAAAGAAAGTTAGGAATATACTTACAAAACTTCTTTTTCAAAGAAATCACCAGTGGAAATAAAGTACTACCCTCTAATATCTATTCTTTAATGTCTATATATCCTGAATAATCTAGAAATAATCTAGAAATAATCTATATATACTGACTAGTCAGATGAGAATTTTAATATAAAACTTTTGGTCATAGACTATTCTAAGCATCCAATAATCCTTGTCTCAGAAGTATAGGGCTAATGGTAACAATAGTTTTTGACACTAAATGAAGGTCATCCTTGATGAAAAAGTTTAATTGAACATACCAAAGAAGTATCTGAGTGAATATTAGTTATGTCATATATCACTTACCCCCTCTTTTATATCTTATGTCTGGTATCTGACAGGGAATAATTTAAATACACCTATTTCAGAGGAAGTCAGTATACTAAATGACAAATGTGCAATTTTAAGTAAAAGAAAACATTTTAGAACTAAAATCGTCATGGTATCTAAATTGTTTTTATGTAAGTTGTTAGACAATAATTACTACTCTTATTTGGCTACGTAATACTGCTGTTGCTACATTAATCTATATTGTCACAGCATTCCAATGAAAAATATCAATGTTCAATTATAATGCGTATCAATACATTCAAGCCACAGAATTAGTATGGAAAAGCACATATTTCTGGGTTCCAAGTAATAGACTGCCTTAGGAAGAAATCCTTACAATGATAATAATAATCCCAGTTATGGGTAAGTAGCAAGTACTTTCCATATGTCATTTCATTCTTCTCAACATTCTTCTATGAGGGAGACATTATTCTATGCATTTTACACATGAGAAAATCTTAGACTCAAAGTTAATTTGAGAAAAACGTAGACTCAAAGTTTGATATGCCATGATTGAAACATGAATCCATATGAACTCTACAGGCCACCCCCTTAACTCAGTGAATTCTTAAGGCTTTTGAGTCTGAATGCTGCCATTGGTCCTATTTTTTATCTTTATTTCTTAGGTAGGCTTGTTCTGACTTTTTACTGATCCCAATAGTTCTTTCCAGTGTATGAAATCAAGACCTGAAATAAACTTTTATGCTCTTCAAACTAACAATCTTATGACTCTATTTTTATAAAGCATTCATCATTTGAAAGATGGTTATCTAGTAATAGACCCTATGATTTAATCTTCTTAAGTATGCCAGATGTTTTCAAGCATCCTACTCATTGTACAAATCTCTAGAATTGTGTCTTAATTTTACCATAAAGGTTAAAATATATATATAAATAAATAAATAAATAATTTATTTCATTAAATAATCAATTATAGGGAAGCCTGGGTGGCTCAGTTGATTGTCTGCCTTCAGCTCAGGTCATGATCCGAGTCCTGGGATTGAGTCCCACATCGGGCTCCTTGCTCACTGGGGAGCCTGGTTTTCCCTCAGCCTGCCATCCCCCCTGCTTGTTCTCTCTCTCTCTGGCAAATAAATAAATAAAATCTTTTTTAAATGAATAAATTATCAATTACAAAGCATCTGTCCTTGGTTATATGCAAAACGCATAACATGCTATAATCTATCATAGTGCAAATAAATTTAAAAGTTCAAAATATGAAGGAAATCTGGAAGCATGAATATAGTTAAGTAATAACAATATATGATAAGAAAAGTAATACATGAAGAGCCATCACATTATGAATAAATTAGCCAATGTCTTCAAACTGCATGGTCATTAGTGCTTATAGACAACAATGACTGAACAAATTGTATACTCAGCTATTCATGCTTCAGTCCAACATCAGGAAATTATTTTTGAGAAATAAATTAAGTATTTGCGTAGAGATATATCTTAAAAATTTTTCTCACCATGGGACTAAAAAGAACTTCAGTTATTTATTTGCTTATGCTGTTCCATCATCTTTTTATCTACTGTTCAGATCTGTATGACTTTACTAATGCTTCCCCACCACCACCATATAGAAGCATCTCAATTTAAAATTATTTACTGGAATTCTATGTATCCAATGTTGTTGTAGCCTTTATTTGCTCCACCTTTTATTCTAGATCCATTCTCTACACTTCTTCACCCTGTTCTCTGCCTTAGGAGGCTGGCTTCCATGTTCTCTGGCTTCAAGCTATTGAGCTAATGGGGAGTTCTGACAAGTTACCAGAGGGAAAGAGTCAAGAATTTATCCCTCTGTATTCTTCACTCAAAAATTATCTCAAGTTTGCTATATTCTTCTACTGAAGGTAGTCTCCAGAAAGCCTTCTCTAACTACTCCCTTTTTCCAGCTGCTAATTTCTTTGGCTCTAAGGATGAAGAAAATATGCAAATGACCAATAAGCCTATGAAAAGATACTTGACATCATTAGTCTTTAGTGAAATGCAAATCAAAACCACAGTGAGATATCACCCAACTGTTGGCAAGGATATAGAGAAATTGGAAAGAAATTCTAGCTCAAGGCTGGTAGGAATGTAAAATGATGCACCTTCTATAGAAATCACTTTAGGAGTTTGGCAATTCCTTCAAAACATAAATGTAGTATTACATTATGACCAGCAATTCCATTCTTATGTAAATACCCAAAAGAATAAAAAACAAGAGCTCAAACAGATCATACTTGTATGCCAGTGTCTATAGCACCACTATAGCCAAAAAGTGGAAACAACCCAAGTATCTATCAACAGATGAATGAATAAACAGAATGTGGTATATACATATAGTGTAATATTATTCAGCCTTAAAAAAGAATGAAGTTCTGATACATGCTACAACATGGGTGAACCATAGAAACATCATGGTAAATTGGAATAAGCCAAACACTAAAGGACAAATATTCTTTGATTCCACTTAAATGGACCATCTAGAATGGCAAATTCATGGAGACAGAAAGTAAATGAGTGTTCTAATGGGCTGAGAGAGGAGAGAATGGGAGTTTTTTTTAATGTGTACAGAGTTTCTCTTTGGGATGATAAGAAATTTTGGAAATAACTACTGGTGACAATTGTACACTATTGTGAATGTACCTAATGCCACTGAATTGTATACCTAAAAATGGTTAAAATAGCAATTTTTTGAAAAGTTCGAGGGTTTGATATGTTCAGACTATCCTACTGTCCACAGTTCATCTGAGCCCTACAATTTTTGGTCACATAGTAGTATAGATTCTTTCATAAGAGCTCTCCTGATCAGGGCTTATCTTTTTCCCTTGTTAGTATTGAAACACGCACACACACACACACACACGCACACACACACACACACACACAGTGATTTCCAAGCAAGTAAGGTTTTCTTCTGAGTTGAAATCAGTGCACTGCAGCTGGCAGAGTCCTATTTTGAAAAGATTAAGAGAGTCCCAGTTGAATGCTGTGAAAAGGAAGTGGAGGTGCCAATTCTAGTTAGCATAGTTACAGATTATCTTTGGAAAAGTTTATGGTTTCTGTGCCAAACCCATATTTGGACTAGGGAATTTTTTACTCACGAAACAGTAGATGCTGATTGTAATTTTCCTAATTTTACATCTTCTGTTACAATCTAATAAAAGAGCTAGACTGAAAATCCAACAAATAAAAATATTAAGTAAAATAGACTATAGCTCAATAAAAGAAAAGGGTCCTTAATATTCAATTTAACAAGTAGCAAAATGTCATTGAGCAACTGCAAGAAAGGAAAAAAATGAGCCACTTATCTAGTGTGTGACAGTATTAAAATCATCTGTTTGATGTACAAATTAGAACCAGAGTGTCTTTTGTAATTCAAATATGAAAGATTTACTCTATAATGGTCAAGTGTATTGAATATATTGTCAAAAATGACATAGGAGAAAGCAAAATAGATCTGAGAATTATAGCTTATTTGTGTACCTTACTAACTATAATTGGAAGATCCATGATCCCATTTTACTTATGTATTCACTATTTCCTGTAATTACAACTGATTAGCAATTTATTGGTTTCTTTGTAATTACCACTTCTTAAGTCTCTTGTATTTGGCCTAGCTACCACGCTAAATACACTAGGAAACCTTTAGAATCTGCCATTTCTTAGCTAGCTAAAACGTTGCTTTCCCCTGAACAGGGCAAAAAAGGAGGACTACAATGATCCTAATTTAATTAGAGTACCACATAGGACTTCTCTAAGTCATACTGAATCTCACTT